TATAGTGTTACTACTAGTATTCGAATTAGAATTTGTGATACTATTACTACGAGCACTACTAGTACTAGTACTAGTACTAGTACTAGTACTAGTACTAGTACTAGTACTAGTACTGGTACTACTACTACTACTACTACTACTACTAGTACTAGTACTGGTACTACTACTACTACTACTACTACTACTACTGCTAATTATGTACTTCTACTACTAGGACTACGAATACGACCACGAATATTACTTATACGGATATATTGATATTCTTTGGGTCATTGAAAACTCAATGAAAGGGACACACTCGTGACAGCAAATAGAAAGGATACTGCTCGTCGCGACAATACTGCGGCGCTGATCCAGGGTACTAAGGTAGTTGCATCTCGGTGTGAATCAGCCGCGCCGGGAACAGAACATACTAGTGGCCAATAGATATGCGGAGCCTTCTAAACTGCCAGGCTTGAAGCATAACTCTTCGACGGTGGCAAGTTCCCTGAGCTCCCCACGGATGAGCCTGTCGACCTGGCCAACAAGGGATCTAGGTGTCACGAAGCCAATCGTTGCCACAGTGAGAGACGGAACGCGACGCAACTCAATTTGCGACTCCGACCTCAACAAACAAGTCCCCATCTGCCGGGAGTGCAGGCACATAGTCCTCCTGAAGAGACAGAGGATGCTTCTGAAGTGTCGAAGCACATGAGGGTTTCCGAAAATAGAGGACCCTAATATAGCACCCTAAATAGTAGGATCCTTATTATAGTGACCCCCAAAATAAAGGTACCCCTAATTTTCGGAAGCTCCCATATCTTTGCTTGCAAAGAGTGCTTCCAGGACACGAGAGGTAGCTGCCCAGACAGCGCTCGCTCCGCTTCTTCCTCCGAAGCGGCGGCCCGGAGGGCTGCAAGCACCTGACACTGCGAGTCCGGATGGCTCATTGCAGGCTTGAGAGGGCCTATGATCATCTTGCGTGAGATGTCTGTGGCCGGGACCGCAAGACGTCAATGTAGTTTTGATGATGACGGTGAGTGTGATGCTCGTGAGAGATGGCTGGTGATGGTAACGTTCCATGTTTGGCGATGATAAGGGTGCTGCTGCTGCCGGTGCTGATGCTGCTAATGATGATGATCGAAGTGCTGATGAAAATGATAAACATGAAGACGAGGAACACCTTGATGCTGACAGTGACGACGGCTTGTTACGAAGAAGATGAAGGCGGATTGTGATAATTGGCACGGTGCTGAAGATGAAGATGATGATGATACAGTGGCGGCGATGATGAGGGTGACGATGATGAGAACCACCATGATGATGAGGGGAGGGTGATGATGAAGATGATGATGATGATGATGATGATGATGGTGATGATGGTGAGGGTGGCGATGATGAGGGTGACGGTGATGATGATGGTTGTGAATCAGGATGAGAGGATGATGCTAATCGCAGTGATGACGACCGCGCATGATGGTAGCGATGATGATAACGATGATGAAAAGATTAGACTGGTTATATCTGATTATGCTTGTCTGTGGTGGAACTGCTGCTGGTGCCAAAGCTGGTGCTGATGGTCGCGCTGGTCATAGGCCATGATGATAATGCGGATGCTGATAATAGTCATATGTAACCATCATAACTCAAAAGCAGCTATGGCAATCATGATCATGCTGCCGCTGATGATGACGATGAAGATCTTGATATCATGATCGTCAGATAGATGATAATTGTGACGATTGTGCGCCAAAGCAGAGCTCTGCGGGGCCTTCCACTGCCAGGCATGCACATCGATTTGCGGAGGTGCTGGTGCCTGTCACAGGGCCCAGCAATGAATATGATGGACTACCAGATTATGCTGCTTACTTTGTGCAATACTGCTTGTCCATAAAATTAGGTCATGACGAAGTGCTAACTACCTGCAGACGTACTAAAGGTGTCTCCTGCCGCAGGCCTTCAGAGGGTTTACCCAGGCATTAAGGTTGAAGCCGTTTTCAGGGATGCTCTTTCCTGCCACCCCGCCTTGGAAGACGCAGAAAGGTCTGCTTTGCTCTTGCCCGCCTTCCCCCTTCTTGGCTCTGGCTCGAGCTCGCCCGAGGCAATCAGTACCAAAGTCAGCAGGGAAATCGCACAACCCATGGCACGGGGTGCAGAAACTGGATGCTTCTGCACTGTTCGCCGCCTTAGAGGTCCTCATGAGATGAACCATCGTAACCAGTAGTAATGGTGAAAGTAGTGAAGTGATTTACATTATAGTAAGGTATCTTATACTGTATGGTATAGTATGGCTGGCTGATCGGAACAGCAAAACAAATCGCTCTGAGTGCAGACTGTCGGGAGTCTTACAGGTGCCCAAGCCAAGATCGGCTGGCGAAGCACTGCAGATTCAGTAGGAGTAGGACAGACCATATATGCAGTAATCATGCATCGCAGCCTTGCTCCAAAACCAACTCGCGAGATTTTTTACACTCAGCGCCGTGCACCTAATGAACCATCTGGAACATACTGCTGGGCTGTGCTTAGTGTGCAATTTGCCTGTCTCCTTATTCTTGAGGGCCCAGAGGCTCTTGTAATGAAGCGAACTTGTTCTCGCGCTTTTTGTAGTACACTGAACTCTAGGCTCCTGGACAGGCTCTCAAAGTCCATCTTGCAGAAATCGCTGCCGGTAGCTCCTGCAGACTACTTCATGGCCAAATTTTTCAATTCCCCGGATCTTCACGGTCCTGTGCAGGTGCGTCGCATAGCAGATGAGAGTGCAGCCCAAAAGCACTGCGGCCTCGGCATTTCTGTGGGTAGTTTTCTAAATTAGGGTCCCTTCTAGGGTCCATATTATAAGGGTGCCGTACTATATATTGGGGACCCACAAAGGGACCCTAATTTAGAGAACAACCCCATGCTTAGTCAGAACAGAGATGATGAGAGACAGAAACTGCGGCCCGGACAACCGAAACGACGGTGGCTCGCAAGGGATATTTCTCTTTGACCACCTGACGCTTCTCGAGACAATGTCATTGTTGTTGCTATTCTTGTCATTACTATGACTCCTGTTCTTTTCATACGGCAAACTATTCCTGTTGTTCCCTTTATTGTTATCACTATGGTTGGTGGTGGTAGTAGGAGTAGTAGTAGTAGTAGTAGTAGTAGTAGTAGTAGCAGTAGTAGCGGTAGTAGTAGTACTAGTAGTACTAGTAGTACTAGTAGTACTAGTAGCAAGCAGTAGTAGTAGTAGTAGTAGTA